GACTGATCTACGCAAAGTAGTTTATCGGCGGCGTTGAGTTCAAAATGACCCACGTCGGGCACATTTATTCCGGTCAGGAGAGGAACCGCCGAGCAATTCGCCGCTACGCGATAGAAGGCAATGGGCAAAATCCAGTCCAGGGATAGTTCTTGACCGAACAAAACGACTCGAATCCATTCCGGGAGTTCGACGATGTGCCACGACGCAGTTTCGGGCCACCTCGAGTACTGAGAGATGTCCGTCGGAAATGCCGATGATAGATGGACCAGTCCCCGTTTTCGCAGGGTGTCCACTTGATACTTCGTGCTGAGTCGGATTATCCCCGACATTACATTAAAATCGGTTTTGGCCGGATACGGGGGGAAAAATCTGAAGATCGTGTCGGACACGGGGAATCACGAAGGCAATGGCGACGCACTCGTGGTCAAATAATGCCCTCAGAAAGTATTCCAGGTCATGCTTATCATCTGATAGCTCCACCACGGGGCAGCCCTCGATGCGATGACCGCCTTCTGGCTGAGGAAACTGCAGCATGTCGTGGAAGACTGGTGAGCGCTCTGCTAGAAACCCTCCATACACGCGGAATGCCGCGGTTCCGGCCTGGAGCACCAGAGTGCCGTCGTTGAACCAAAGTCCCTCGACGGAAGTGTGAGCGTCGGTGGTGGGGGGCGCAGTGCTATCTGGTGGGGATTCGGGTGTCGTCGACATGAACGGAGGAAGCACGAGGCGGCGCTTAGATACATGGCGCCACAACTAAACAAAGAAAAACAGAACCATCCATCGATGTTGGCATGATCTCAAGGTTGAGCTCGACTCTCACAGTAGGGCCAGACAACAGCGAGTGATGCACGGTACATGCGGCCCTTCTCCTTCTAAAATGAGAACAGTACAAGGTTTTGCAAGAAACATGATACATCAGGTAGAAAATATCGAACCGTAACTATTCAAGCCAACGCTGCTGCCTTCATCTGCTCTAGCGCTGCCCAATCGGCCAACCCGAATCTCGGCGGCAAACCGTCCCACAAGCTCTGTAGAGCTGCCGCGTGCGTCGTCTTCATACTTGTCAAGCAAGGTGGGCAGACAGATGACATGATTTCCCACTGTTCCGTCTCCCACAGACGAAGTGGGAGATAGTGGAACCGCCTGTGTTCTGCGGTTTTGCATGCTTCCAAACGGGCCGCAGTGCAGCCGCCATAATTGTAGCAACCCCCGACAGGCGAGCGTTCCCAGAGGAAGGCGAGAATAGCCGAGGAAGCCCAAGTTCTAAGTTCCACGGACTGTTCCACGCAGAGTAGTTTATCGGCAGCGCTGAGCTCAAAGGGGCCCACGTCGGGCACATTTATCCCGTTCAGGAGGGCAACCGCCGAGCAATCCACCGCCACGCGATAGAAGGCAATGGGCAAAATCCAGTCGAGGGATAGTTCTCGACCGAATAGAAGGACTCGAATCCACTCGTCGGAATTTTCGAGCTTCCAAGACCTAATTTTGCCCCACGTCGGGTACTGAGAGAGGTCCATCGGAAAAGCCGACGATAAATGCATCAGCCCTCTTTTCCGCAGGCTGTCCACTTGATATTTCGTGCTGAGTCGAATTATCCCCGAAATAGTGTTGAAGTCGGTTTTGGACGGATACGTGGGGAAGAATCTGAAATTGTGTCGGAATGAGAATTGGCCGCCAAAACAATTGAGACGCACTCGTGGTCGAACAATGCCCTCAGAAAGCATTCCAGGTCATGCTTATCATCCGATAGCTCCACCACAGGGCAGCCCTCGATGAGAGGGCCACCCTCTGGCTGAGGAAACTGCAGCATGTCGTGGAAGACCGGCGATCGGTCTGAGAGGAGCCCTGCGTACACGCGGAATGCCGCGGTTCCGGCCTGGAGCACCAGAGTACCGTCGCTGAACCAAAGTCCCTCGACGGAAGTGTGAGCGTCGGTGGTCGGGGGCGCAGTGCTATCTGCTGTGGATTCGGGTGTGGTGGACATGGACTAAGAGCACGAGGCGGCGCTTACAGTGGGAACCCGAGCTTGTGGGCGCTTCAGCGGCTTGACGGCCGGGCGCCAAAACTGAACCAAGGGAAATAACCGTGCATCGAGGTTGGTATGATCTCTCAAGGTCGAGATCGACTCTCGCGGTAGGGCTAGACAGCGGTGAGCAATGCACGGTCTGTGTTTATCCTTCCACTTCTAGAATGACGCTCATTCAGATCGAGTTCTTCTTGTTGCGTGTCGAGCGCTGGAGACTTTGAAGGAAGACAATGCAACGGCGTTTCGACCTCATTGGGAGAGGAATGGCACCGAGAAAAGTTATCGGTAATTTGGCATTCACCGTAAGGTTCTACCCAGTTACAAGCGCGCTGAAGCACGCATCCCTAGGAAGAGGCCCGTGACAACGAGCCTTCTACGAGTCAGATCCCATACCTATTCAGTCACAGAAGAGTTCAGAATCGCGATCCAGTGGCCGAAATATAAACGATCGACGTACCTCGCAGCGCGATGTCATTCTCCCAGCGACGTTTGTGCTTACGATACGCAGCCGGGCGCCACTGTCACATATTATGAGGATGCACCTGCAGAACAGCGAAGATTACTCACAGCTCCGCCGGATTATAGAAGACCGTGTTCAGTCCCAAGGATACAGAAGACACGTCGGAACCACCCTCGGCATACTCGAGGGTCATGACTGTCGAGGAAAGGCATCTAGATGCAGAACAATTCAAGAAGGGGAGATTCGACTCAGGTAGTATACGCACTCGTCCATGACCGCAATAATGAAGCCAGTACTCAGTTTGCCTTGTTCGTCGAGGGTTTCTACCAGGATGTCTGAACGCACGATTAGAGCCAGATTCAGGGAGATACGGACCCTCCGTGACGTCTAGTTCGGCGGTCATAGTAAGCACACGAGCAGTGTCGTCTAGAGGGTTCGGGGCAAGCGAGACTTCGGTGACACGCGTTCGTCGGGTGGCAGCGCGCCCGAAGCACTTGGGCGGATGGTGGTACACATCGAGCCATTGGACGGCGCGCCCCTTAACGTCAGGGGGCGCGTTCCCGCCGATGCGCGCTATCGCGGCGGCGGGAAGGGGAGTTTGGAGGATGGTGGCGGCATGTGCGAAGCTCATTGTTGTGGTTTAGTTGCACACGCGGGCGTTCCGTGATGGCCGGTTCTGCCGTACAAGCGGGTTCAATTTCCGGCACCTGGACTTACTGCTGCAGTCCGAGCACCCACCGGTGAATGGCGGACACCCGCGTCAACTGTATAACGGGTATCTAACGGGTAACCATAAATTCTCACTAATTACCCACCAACTCACAGATTCCCGCGTTCGGGAACCCTTGCCGGTGATCATGACCGACGGTTCAGGCATCCTGAAACAATTCCCGCTCAATCAGCAATGGTATCATCATCCTTCATTCAGGCGTCGCCGCCTTCTCGAGAGTCAAGATGGGCTGATTTGACAGGAGACGCACCTTGCTACTGACGCACTGGCAGATTTGAATGCTCAAAGTCCAGAATCAAACATGTATTCTTAAAGTCCGTAGTCGAATGTCCGAATCGTATCATAACGCACGCAAGGCAAGTCCCAGAGAACTTAGACATCGCTCTGGATCGTGAACACCGGCGAGAAATTTCCGCTGTCGCCGAACACTGCGGAGATTTCGGGAATCAGACCCCTGCGCAATTCCCCGGAAGAGACTCGTACTCACAAACGAATGCGTAGTCGGAGCCGGTGAGGACGTTCGGGACGGTGATGTCGAGGCTCCCTGAACGGAGGTCAAAGCCTTCGGCAAGGATGACTGCGGCAGGGGCAAGGTGAGTGGGGTGAATTCCTCTCCGGTCAAATGACTGCTTACAGGGCGCGGTAATTTCGCCCTTGCGGAGCATCAGCAGCGCCTTGTTGGAGATATTGACGGGGGCGCTAGTTGTGTCCCTATTTCGTGGAGACGCAATGAGGGATGACGATTATGAAGCTGCACCGTCCGAACGCACCAAGTGATAGTCGTCGGTGTCTTGCTCACCAAGACAGCGCCTGCAGACGGGGAGGTGACGGGAGGGTCGAACACGTCGAGAGGCGTGGGGCCAGCGAGGGCTAGTGCCGTGAGGGCGAGGGGAACGAGCGAGGAAATCATGGTAGCGAAGCGCATTATGTGGGGTGAGGTGGGATATGGGAGGGGATTGAATAGAGACGCCGTGACGATCCTCTTTATAGCCCTGGGAGAGATCCGGTGTGTCTTCTGTGTTTAAGAAGTCGGAGCCCCATGACAGGAGGAATTTACCAAACTTTCCCGCTCCACAAGTACCTATTATTACTAGTCTCCGAGGGTCGGACTCGTAGGTTGACTTGAGTGTATCGACCGTCTAATGTTGCAGCGTTCGCGCACCTAGCTGTGATTTTACCGTGGAATACAAAACGGCGTTATTTTCTCTGAAGTATCATTAATTGCAGCCCCACCTTGACATGGGTCGAGCCACATTACCGATCGGCCGCACCAGTGCCCCACAACATATATCCGACGCGACCCTGCCTCGCGCATTCAGCGTGTCGTCCGGTGCGACACGGAATCCGGCAACAACGAGCGTGCTGGTGATGTTTTCGTAGCTCGCGCAGTCATCAAGTCTGAGAAAATGGAACGACAGAGGTCGTCCGACACGTTGGAGCAGATGGAAGTTGGGAGCAAGTGCTGGGCGCCTATCACCACGCGAGATGCCGAAACGGCAGCCCCATCAAACAAGAATCCAAGGCTGAATGGGTTTTGTGTTAGATTTTGAATTTCTCCCTGGAGCGCTGACTCCAAGTTCTCCTCCTTGCCAGTGGTCCCACAAATCGAGGCCCATTGGAACTAAGTCCCGCAGAATGCACTATCGCTCAAACTTTCCACACCGCCGCCGACCATGATCATCCCCCCTGATTTCTCAATTTGAATCTTCAGAGTTAGCGCAAATCATGCTGTTCCCTCAGCGCTCATCCATCGACGCAGTGTCGACCGGGCGCTTCTTTGCATCAGCAGCATGGCGCAGTCTGGAAGCGCGCGGGGCCCATACGGAATATATGCTTGGCGTAATCCTCTAACCCCGAGGTCACTCGATCGAAACGAGTTGCTGCTATTACTGCCTTGGAATCGCGAGTTCGCGCACTGCGAACTTTGGTTTTTTCATCTGTCCTTCCCTGCACCCACGTAATTCATCCTCCTCTCCGCTTTTTTGGTTGTATTCGTCACGGTGTTCCTCCAGCCAAAATCTGTTCCCTCCGGTTGTTGTCTCGGCAGTTAACATGGCCCTTCCGCGCCCTGCGTGGGTCGGTCATTCAATAGCACAGTGGGTTCGAGCGCAGTGTCTGTCGCCTCCGTGGTTCTATTCAATGTGCTGTCCGTTGCCTGACATGGTCCGTAGGAAACGTGAGGTTGAATATTCTGACCCTGTACGGTTTGGAACCTAGTCATGCGCAGAACCGGGTCCCTGCATACGAGGATTCAGAGTTTGTTCGAGGCTTCGAGCGGGAAGCAGAGCGTGGAATCATTTCCTCTCTGCGTTGGCGTGCGACACATGAATTTCTAAACGTCGGATGGGCATCAGCAAGCACTCTACACTAGCATTTGAATCTTACCACTCGCCGAGGAGGTTAGTCTACTTTTTTCCCTTGGCGATTGAGGTTCAACCGAAACACTTGACCGCAGTTGAGCCCCTCAAGCCACTTGGGTTCTTACCTTCTCTTAGCTAAGGAATTGAGATCCGGCCTCTCTGTGCCCAACTATGTAGGGAAGCTCGGGGCGAGGATTCCGGTTTGATTTTCAGTGTCCAACTGGGTTGTTCCTTGGTTGATTTCTTTCCATCATCTATGCTTGTTTGGTGCTCATTGTCCCTCAGTTTGAGACGGATCCTCTCTATTCTGAATACCTTGCCTGGTCCCTGAACTAAGCAGATTGTTATTTAATAATACAAGAGCGCGGTGGGGCGCAGAGGCGCCCCACCACTTCGGTTGAGGCTCAGCAATCATCGCTTTACTTAGTCTCTCCTAGACAGACGCTACAACACAGACGCTCGTACCTCGCTGTGTTGTACGCTTTACTGCGCTTCACAGCAGTTAACAGCAGCTGAACTCATGACTTGATGAGGCTGATTGTGCGGGTACATACGGCACCTTTGTGTTCCGGGGAGCTGACAGTAGTTGCCGAACTTTCAATGAAATTCATTGAGGCGAGCAGTCAGCAACGTCACAGTATTTAATGCTTTCCAACCTATGCTTTATCTCGCAAAGACTCCGCGCCAGAAAATCAATGCCTATTGCCAAACTGCCAGATGGCGAATGTGGATCAAGTGAAGCCGAGACCCGGAACTTGCGGAGCTTAAAAGGCTTCAGACACGCATAATTTTATAAAGAGTAGGACTACAAATTGGTATAATCACCCACTGGACCGTATATACTTATAGGGGGTGTCCGGGGCCTTAACCTCAGCCTACCTGACACTTGCTAAACGGCCTGTTCCTTACCAATGCTCAGCTAAGAGTTGCTTTTGGAGTCTGCTTCTAGCGATGCTATACATTCTTCCACTGCCCTCAGTTGCTGTACCCAAAAACTGATTCCATCTTCCGGTGGCGATGGGAGGTTCTACGTGGTGGGTGAGGAGGATAAAGGAGACAGGAGATGCAACATAGGGACCCAACTATTGCAATTATCCCCAAGGAATATACAGAGCACCGGCCTGTCTGTGATCAGATATAAAGTCAACAGGACCTTTAGTCAAGGTGTGAACATGTATGGAAATCCTTTGCAATCTACGGATGGGGCAGAGTACGCTTGAAGGTAAGAACATTCAGAACTTGGACCACCTCGGAATCAGTTCCGATCCTGGCTACACAGTCAGGGTCCGCACAACAGATGATGTTACAGGGTGATGAGATAAATGGGGGTGAAAACCCCGTCATCCTCGATCTCTCCAGGGTTATTGGGGGGAACTTCGAGTTCGCACGCAAAACGGAGATCTTCCCACAGGTCAATGAGGTCTAGTGGAGGCGGCGAACAGCGCTGTTTGCATGCCACAGTTTCAGTAAGCTTCTGCAAACTCGAACAGGTAAGTTACCCCAAGCCAGTCAATTATTTTCTGTACGGAGTTTGGCCCACCATGAAGCCTTCCTGCTGAACGTCTTTGTCATAGAGTATGGGCAGCAAGTCATCTCTGGGGTGCAACTGGACGATGAACCTCCCAAGTGTTGCTGCGATCAGCCTGCGGATGATCAGCTATTATCCCAAGATATCAGAGTCAATAGAATGCATACCTCCGGTCATAGAAGTCAGTTGCATAGAAGTCAGTTGGCCGGGTGGAAAGGAAAGTGCTCATGCTGGAGACGAGATCATAATCGAGGCTGGACTGAGCAATACACAAGCCCATGGATCGTGTGGGATCTGTCAGGAAGTCACGGAATGATGCATGAAAGAGCTTAACACCACCCCATTGGCCAGTGGTGCTAGGCGGAGGGACCCTGAGCAGGGAGTGGAGGTGTCGCAAGGTGAGACGTGTAATCCCATCTCGAATGTGCAATGCGCGGTCGATGTCCTCAGCCTCGAATGCCGTGGGAACATAAACAACTGCATGAAGTATGCGCCGCAGCATGGGCCTGTTGCGAACACGGGATAATACACCTGTGTATAAGGTGTCTAGAGGTGCGGTGCTTTGAGGATCAAGGTTCAGAACCCGAGCCAGTTGCTCCGTGGGATCCGAATATTGCTCATCAATGTATCGCACAACGGTGGCTGCATATATAAAAGTGCCCGAGGATCTTCCAACCAGATGTTTGATCGTGTGCTGTCCAGGCCAATCTTCCTCCAAATGAAAGCTCTGCAACCGTTCAGACTGTTGAATGCTGGAGAATTCCTCTGAGAGGTAGCGTCTGATATCGGCGAGAGCAGATCTGTCCGGACGCAACTCGAGGTGACGACAAATGTCAAAGTTTTCTGCCACCTGGATTACTTCGCGAAGGTGTGCTTCAGGGCGGCTGGCAACCAGGACACGCACGGGGAGGGTCCCAGTGCGAATTGCATCAAAGAGGAGCTGAAGGAGCGGGACCTGGGTAGTGTGGTCCTCGCATTCATCCAGGCCATCAAGCACAATGATAGGTGGCAGATTCATGAGTGACGCGGCCTCGTGAAAGGGCCCGAGGAGCAATTTCTGCATTTGGTGGCACATTGCCTGACCGACAACAAGTTTATCCTTTTCAACAGCTCGCTGGATTGGTCCTTCCAGCTCGCCAAAGGAGGTAGCAAGTTGGTAGGCAATGGTTGGAAACAGACTTTTCCAGGTGCCTCGGCCAGGACTGCCCCGCTTGAAAAAGAAAGATGCCCCCAGAATGCCTTCTTCCTGGCATCTCGCTGCAAAATCCTGGGCAATGGCAGACTTTCCCATCCCGGCAGAGCCATGCAGCTAGAGTACAGTGGCAGCTGATCGATTATCACGGGACCACGCGCGCAGGTCTTCCAACATAGCATTTCGAGTACCAGGATGGCAGGCGGGGTCGGTGGGTCGCTCGGCGGAGTTGTGTATTGCATCGCGGACAACAGAGCGGCGCAAAATGTCAAGACCTTGTTGCAGTAAGTCCCAGTCTTGAATGAACACACAACACACACCATTCTCCACATAAGACATGACATGCATGCTGGTCATGTTGCCGCGGACAGTGGGCAAGGAAGGATTGGAATTGTCTGCACGGGAATGGGGCTGGGATGAGGTGGTTGGACTACCACCGTTGTCGGTGTCCGCAAACTCTGGAGCCCATTCACGGACCGGGGATGATGTGTTTGAACGGTGGGTGTTGTCCGCAGATTGTTGGCCCCATGCAAGGCGATGAGATTCCGGGACATCTGGTATTTCACAGTCAATCGGGCTTGGCCTGTAGAGAGCCACTTACGGTAAGGGCCTGTGACGGGTCTTGCACGTCTCGCAGGTCTATGAACACCGTTTCCGAGCATTTGTTCTGAGGGAATTGGTCAATCAACACCCAGACTCCGCTTTACACTTCACTTACGATTCTGATTGGCCTGTACGGGTCCCGAGGTCACTACATTGTATAGTAGGTGACATTGCAGTCTCCCATAATATTCCAGTTCCCTGCGACATTGTTGACAGTTCCACCAGAGATGCTGATAGAACGAGCCCCGCCGTTGGGAGAGGCCATTGGGAGGTGGGCAGTCGTGGTGGGAGGTGGCAAGAAGGGTACCGTGGAAAGGCTGTAGTGGGAGCCTAGAAGGCAAATTTAAGGCTGTGTGACAGATGTTGGACAGATAGCTTTGCCCGTGACAAGCGGTACTTACGAGCAAACTTTCGATCACCGATGCTTCGCGCTCGCCATATCCAAATATGGGCTCAATTCACCGAATTATCCCCATGTTTTCAAACCAAACCTTTTCAAAAAGTGTGATTTGCTATTTTTATTCATCCCCGATGTTGTTGATGAAGTGGAAAATTTGTTTCGACATGTTGCCGAGCAGAAGGATGTTGCGGGACCTCGGGACATTGACACTGCTGATGACGAACGGCTACTCCATGTCTAGGCATACCTGATAAGTGTTTTGAGCAATTTCTACTACTTAGACTACATCTTTCCTGACCCCTAGGAACAGCTGCAAGATTCAGTTCCAATTTGAGAGCTAACTGTGGTGATTTTATCAAGTTGGAGCTGCAGAGGTATACCACATACCATCAAGGGGCTGCCCCGTTGACTGACATGGGCAGGACTGCTGGGTCTTAATACATTGGACCCACAAGCCGGGATCAAAGCTTGCGTCTATTATTCCACTCAGTATCCACCCTATAGAACGAGGTTACGAGTGGTATTCACCCTTCAAATCAAGCCGGTACTTCAGACATGGTGCAGTACAGCGCGGCTTCTTGCCAGTGTTTCTCTTTCTCTCCTGCTCAGTTCACACTAAATTATCTGAGTCAAAGCCGGTGAATCCAGTGCATCCTTCTGTTCGGCTTGGTGTCTCAACACGTTGAACTGAGTAGGTACTCCGGACGTGGTGTACGGACACGGCTGCTTTTTCTCAGAGGGAACTTGGCAAACCCGGGTTCGATTCCCGGCGTCCGAATGGGTGCGCATTTTAAGCTTGCAGT